CATAATTGTCATTTTCTACTTCAAAAGAGAAATCTGAGAGCTTAGTGAAAGAAACAATAGCAGACTGTTTCTTTTGCTTATGTTTGCACGTTTATCAGAGTCCATGATATGAGCATTTTTTCAGATGTCTTGAAGGAATGTGGGGACGGGCAGGAGGGGCTCCTAGTGGTATTGGGGGAGATGTCCTTTGGTATAGACCTTATCTCATCACCCCAGCAGCCCCTCCCCAGATTCTGTTATCATTGAAACCATGAATTAGTTCAGACTCTCTTCATGTTAGAGAAACTCGATTCAGGCAGATTTAGGCCAGAGAGCTTCCAGCTTTGTTCTTTCTTTTTTCAAGACTGGTCTTTCTAATCCAGGTCCTTTGCATTTTCATAAGAATATTAGAATCAGCTTGTCAATTTCTGCAAAACAAACAAACCTCGAATTTAAATAAGAATTACATTGAATCTATACATGAGTTTGGGGAATATTTTCATCTTACCATTAAATCTTTTGATCCATGTACAGGACATCTTTCCATTTATTTAGGTTGTCTTGAATTTCCTTCATTGACGTTTGGCAGTTTTCAGCATATAAATCATGTACTTCTCATTACATTTATTCATAAACCTTTTTTTTTCTTTTTGATGCTATGGTAAATTATTTTCTGAATTTCATTTTTGGATCATTCATTGTCATCATATAGAAGTGCACCTGAATTTTGTATATTGATCATGTATCTTGCAACTTGCTGAACTTTTTTTTTTTTTCAATTCTAATCATTTTGTGTGTGTGCATTCAAATTTTTTCTATATAAGATCATGCCATCTACAATAGGGATACTTTTACTTCTTCCTTTCCAATCTGAATGACTTTTACTTCCTTTTTTCTTGCCTAGTTTTACTGGCTAACTCTTCCACACAATGTTAACTAGAAGGGTAAGAGCAGACATCCACACCTTGTTGAAAGTTTACCGTCTTTCACCATTACGTATAACGTCACCTGTGGTTTTCTGTAGATGCCCTTTACCAGGTTGAGAAAATTCTCTTCTATTCCTAGATCACTGAGTGTTTTGTCATGAAAAGGCATTAGATTTTGTCAAATGCCTTTTCTGCCTCAATGGACATGATTGCAGTTTTGTCCTTTATTCTGTTACCATGGTATATTGGATTGATTGAATTTCATATGTTAAACCAAGCTTGCATTCCTGTGATAAGTCCCACGTGGTCCAAGTGTATAAACATTTTGATACGTTGTTTGATCCAGTTTGCCAGAAATGAGTTAAGGATTTTTGCATCTATATCCATAAGGGATATTGATCTGTAGTTTTCTGTTCTCTTGGTGTCTGGCTTTGATATCAGTGTAACAGTGGCTTCATAGAGAGCACTTAGAAATGTTCCCTCTTCGTCTGTCTTTTGAAGGAGTTTGCGAAAGACTCATGCTGATTCTTCTTTAAACATTTGGTAGAAATTACCATGAGGCCATCTGGTCCTGGCTTTACTTTAAAGGAAGATTTTTTTATGACTATGTCAATCTCTTGTTATAAATCAACTCTGCTTTTCTATCATTTTTAGTCAGTTTTGGTAGTTTCTGTCTTCATAGAATTTTGTGTTTTATCTATGTAATCTAATTTGTTGGGGCACAGTTGTTTATTATATTCTTTAATAATTCTTTTTATTCCTGTGAGGTTCATGGTGATAACCCTCTTTCATTCCTGATTTTAGTAATTTGAGTCTTTCTTCTTTGTTGCTTGGTCATTCTAGCTAATGGTTTGTCAATTGTGTTAATCTCTTTTTTTTTTTTAATCCTTACCCGAGGACTTTTTTTTTTTTTTTTTTTTTTTTTGCACTTTATCTTCAGATAGAGCGGAAGGGAGAGAGGGAGGAAGAGAGAGAGAAACATCGATGTGAGAGACACATTGACTGGTTGCCACCCACATGACCCTAACAAGGGTGGGGGACAAACTGCAACCAAGGTATATGCCCTTAACGGAAACTGAACTCAGGTCTCTGTGGTCCTCGGGCCAATGCTCTAACCTCTGATCCAAACTGGCCAGGACGTGTTGATCTTTTTAAACAATCAAATTTTAGTTTCAGTGATTTCTTTCTATTTTAATTTTTTTCTATTTCACTTATTTTTACTTTAATTATTTCCTTCTTTCTGCGTTCTTAGGATTTAATTTGCTCTACTGTTTTTGTTTCTTATGGAAGAAATTTAGGTCACTGACTTAAGATCTTTAATATAGTTATTTATAGCTATAAAGGTCTAAGCACTGCTTTTGCTGCATCCTATATGTTTTGGTATGTTGTGTTTTTATTTTCATTTACCTCAAAGTATTTTCTGATTTCCCTTATGATTTTCCTTGATGCATTATTTATTTAAGAGTGTGTTATTTAACTTCCATATATTTATGAATCTTTCAGTTTTCCTTTTGTTGTTGACTTCTGATTTTTTTCCATTGTGAAATGATTGTAGAAGATATTCGGCATGATTTAAATCCTTTCAAATTCCTTGATGCTTGTTTTTGATGGAACATGTGGTTTATCCTGGAGAGTGCTCCATATGAATTTGAGATGAATGTGTATTCTTTCTCAAATGTATGTGTTCATATTTTTCATCAGATTTAGAAAGTTTTCCAATATGAGTTCTTCAAATACTCTTCCTTGTTCTCTCTACTTCTGTCTGGCGCTCTCCTTGTGCCTATGTTGGCACGTTGGGTGGCGTGCCGCAGGTCCCTGAGACACAGTTCATTTTCCTTCATTCTTTCTCCTTTCTGTTCCTGAGACTAGTCAGTCTCATGGACCTATTTCAAGGCCATTGACGTTTTCCTTCTTCCTGCTCAAGTCTGCTGTTGAGCCTCTCCAGTGAATTTTTTGTTTTAGCTGTTGTACTTCTGAATTCCAGAATTTATTTTGGCTCTTTTTTATAATTTGTACTTCTTTATTCTCATATTCTATGGTGAGAAATTTTTCTCATGCTTTTGTTTAGTTTTTTAGACATTTAAAAGACTTCTGTGTGTATAGTTTAAAATAGCTGATTTAAAGTCTTTGGTAAATCCAGTGTCTAAAATTCCTCAGAGATAGTTTCTACTGACTGTTTTTTCCACTGCATGTAGACCATATTTTCTTGTTTGTCTCCTAATTTGTTGTTGTTATTGTTATTGAAAACTGGGCATTTAAAATGATATAATTTGACGATTCTAGAAAATGTGTTCTTCTCCCTGACCAGGTCTGCTTGTTGTTACTATTTATTGTTGTTTTTGTTTGTTTGGTGACTTTTCTCAAATAATTTGGTAAAGTCTGTATTTTGTGTTGTGTGTGGCAACTGAAACATCTGCTAGGTTAGCCCAAGGTCGTCTAATGATTGCACAGAGATTTCCTTGGAGACCTGGACCCAGTGAGTCTCCCAGTCGTCTCTGATGGGTCCTGTGTGTTTGGGGCACATCTTCAGCCCTCAAGCCGGCAGTTTACAGCCCACCTCAGCCTTTACCTCTTGCTTGCTCAGGTCCTCAGCGTTAGGGAGAGGAAAAAACGTAGAAAATTCTAAGTCATTGCTGAGCATGCAAATAACCCTCAGCACAGCCCCATGCATGCTTGTGGTTTTCAGATTCCCAGAAATATGTAGGAGCTTTACAAAGCCCTATAGATACTACATTCCCTAGTTTTTCCTTGTAAGCTTTTTGGTTCACTTATTGTTTGTCCTGTTACCCCCCACCTTGGGGAGTGTGATGCTCCACAGTTGCCTCTGATTGTTTTCAACAAACGCCCTCAAGGAAAAGGCTATTTGCGTTGGCTGAGCTCTGGTTCAGGTTAAAGAAGGACACTCTTGGAAGTGGGATCTTCCAAGAATGTACCAAATAGGTCAGATAATGCGCTTTCTCTGGGAAAGGACATAGAAGGAGCTCCATCCTGCTGCTGCACCCCTGGTGGGGTGCCAGGCTGCTGGCTTTCCAGGCTTCTCCAGAGCTGGTGAGAGGGGATGGAAAGTAGGGCAAGTTAAAACCTCATAAAGCTCCCTGTTCTCTCTGAGATCCAGTCAATTTTCATAAGTAAACACTCCCTGGGTTGCTACAAACCTTTGGTCAGTTTCTGAAGTTCTGAAAAACGTTTATTCTGACCATTTGCCAGTGTTCTCACTGCCTCCAAGGAGCAGAGAATTTTCATAGCCCCAACCCCTCCCCCATTTCCGTGGCATCACCCACCAGCTGGGTTTCGAGCCCACATGTACACACAGTGCTCAGAGGCTTCTTCAGGGCGCTGTGCTTGTACTTGATGGTTTATGGAGGCGTCTTTCCCATGGCTGAGTTGTTTGTGGATTCCTTTGGGGGGAGCCAGTGAGGTCATACCCGCCAGCCAGGACACCCACATTTTAGTCTTGCATCTACCACAGGAGCAAAGAAGCTGAGAACAGAGGACTTACTGGGTGTCAAGCTGGGCTCTCCCTTTCCATGGAATATTTTATGTACATTGTATCACGTCATTCTTGCAACAGCAAAAAAAAAAAAAGGTAATGTTCCCATTTAACAGATAAAGAAACTACTAAATGCAGAGCACCTAGCACTGTGCCTGCGACACAGAGCAAACACTTCATAGGTTGATTACGGTGGTGTTGTTAGTACAACTGTTATGATCAGAGAAGGAAGTGGAGCTCTTGGGATTTCTCCAGGCCGTTCGAATACCAGCTCGGTCTGTCTGATTCCAAAGCCCATCCAGATCCCACATCCCCATCCCAGCTCCCCTGGACAAGTCTATCCCTCCCTGGGTCTCCTTTCCTTGCTCTGAAGGATTTGAATGGACTGAGTTATTCCATCAACAAACAATGAGGTGTGCTGCTAAGGTCACTTTCAGGGTGACATGATGGAGGTATGTGATTCTGTGACATCAGTTGCTCAGAGTCATATTGGTAGCATTTTCCTGTTGGGCTTGAAAAAATAAACCGACAGGAAGACTGACAGGTGTGTGACCCAACGCGTGTTTTTCTCCCCCTCCCTCTGGCTCTGTCCCATCCCCCTGCAGAGACAGCAGGGGACAAAGCCAAGTGGGTGTTCACCTGGCCACTCATCTTCCTCCTGTGCATCACCATCCCCAACTGCAGCAAGCCCCGCTGGGAGAAGTTCTTCATGGTCACCTTCATCACCGCCACGCTGTGGATCGCCGTCTTCTCCTACCTAATGGTGTGGCTGGTGAGTGGAGGGAGCGGGGTGGACCGGACAGACAGCCCCTGCCCAGCACCTGCCACAGGTGGGAGCGTGACCTCAAAACTGCTGTGCCACCTTTGGCAAGTTACCTACCTCTGACATTACCTGCCCCCCGACCTTGACCTGTCTTCCAGTAAGAAGGGGTATTGGCAGTGGTGCACGCTGCTGCGCTCTGCACCAGGGATGCCCAGACAGGTACAGTGTGGCACATGCTTGCGAGGCAGGCATGGGGGATGGAGGTAAACCTTCTCCCCTGGCAGCATGGGCAGAGCACCATGGCGGGGTGGCAGGGGCTGGGGGTCGAGGACCGGGCCTGATACCTTGAAGATGTTTCTGTAAAGAACTCCAGAGGGCTGCTCACTAGGCCCCATCCTTTCAAGGGTCCTGGGGGAAGGTGACGGAGACTGGAGTCAGTGGGAAATGAACGCAAGTAGCCCTTCTATGCCCCCTGCCAAGGAATGTTCCTCTCCCCTTTCTATGTTCAGGCACATGTATAAACTGTATGTAAACTCTTTCAATCCTCATAACAACCATTTTATTACGCTCATGTTACAGATGAGGGAACTGGGGCCTAGAGATGGAGTAATTTGCCCAGTTAGTTACACAATTAGCATCTGCTACACAGTTGGTTACATCATTAGTGAGTTCTAGGTTGGGACTAGAACCCTGGTCTATTGTTCTCCGGAGCCACGGCCTCAGCCGCTATCCCGAGCTGCCTCTGTTTGTTGCTGGGATTTCCGTGCCATCTGGACTGCGGTTTTGCAGGTGGAGAGGCGCTGGCACGGCTCCTTGGCAGCTCCTCTGGCCACGCATCGCAGTTCTCGCTACAGACCTTCAGAGGCTGGGCTGGGCCAAGCAGGGGCACCTGCCCCCTTGCTCTGTGTGCCACCCTGTGGGGTCCTTCCAGTCCTCTCCCTCCTCCTCCTCCTCCGCCTCCTCCCCTTCCTCTTCTCCCTTCTCCCCGATCCTCCCCTCCTTCCCCCCTCCTCATTCTGACCGGAGCGTCCAGGAGCAAATTGAGATGCAGCTCGAGGATGGCTGCGTTCCTACTGTGAAGCTCACCTGTCAGCTGTGCACAGCCATGGCCTCCGTGTACCATTGCCCTCTCCTCGCACCTGGGGCCAGCTGTGGAAAGGGCGAGTGAGTCTTGGTCTCAGCGTCACAGGGGCCACCATTCCCTTAACCCTCGAGGAGCCGCTTGGTGGGCAAAGATGGGCCGTGGGGGTCACACGGCAGTGGATTTGAGTCTTAGTTTTCCCACTTAGGTTCCATAAAACTTAGGCAGGTGACTCAACTTCTCTGAACCGCAGCCACCCCCTCCAAAACAGGGAAGATCATCCCTGTCTAACAGGGTTATTGGGAGAAGGAGAAGTCTCTGTGCAGACATCGTGATCCGGGCTGGCGGTACAGAAAATTGCTCATAACTGTAAATATCCGCTATTTTCACCATGTGATGGAGCCAGCACTGACCGCCCCATGCTCTGTCAGGTGAAGGTCAAAGTCCCCGTAACCAGTGTGTGTGTGTGTGTGTGTGTGTGTGTGTGTGTGTGTGTGTGTGTTGGGGTGGGGAGGAGTTGGAAATAGCGACTACCCTAACTTCCCAGAACAGACACCAGTCCAAGATCATGAAAACTATGCCTTAAATGAGTTGAATTTGCAAACTTAAAACTTTCTGAGTACGGTTCAAGGCCAGCCCATCTTTACATTTGATTTTTTAAAATCCAGTGACTTCTGTTACTAAAATGCATTCCCAAAATAACATTGCAGTTTAAAAAAAAAGAAGAAGAAGAAGTATTTCATGATATTTGAGTGGGTGTGAGAATTAGGGAAGATGAAATTAACAAATGTGTGAAACTTTTTCTCTAATTACTGAAAATAACAGTATTCTTATATCAGTTCTACTAATTAGCAGTGAGGTTGGATGTTTAACAACTCTCCCACCCCCACTCGTTAAAGCAGAGTCTGTGAAGGGTTGGCCCTACATCCGTCCCTGCTGGGCAGTCTTTCATGGTTTTGAACTTCAGCTGACCTTTCTTTAGGGGAATTTCTACTCCTATAGAAAGCAGTGGAGTGCCACGTTAGCCCGATTTTTTTTATCTTTTTTATCCTCACCCAAGGATATTATTTTTTTATTCATTTACTTATTTTTGAGAGAGAGGGGGGAAGGAGAAGGGAGAGAGAGAAAGAAGAACATCGATGTGAGAGAGAAACATCGATCCGTTGCCTCTCGCATGCACCCAAGGGAATTGAACCTGCAACCTGGGTAGGTGCCCTGATCAGGAATCGAATGAGCCACCTTTTGGTATACAGGACAATGATCCAACCAACTGAACTACACTGGCCAGGACTGCAGGCATTCTTACTTAGCTTCTCTGACTCTCAGTTTTTCTAGACAGAAAATGGGCATAATAATAGTGCCTCCCTCACTATATAGTGCCTCCCTCACTAATAGTGGGTGGCACGTAATGGAGAACATGAGATTGTGAAAACAAAACACCTGCTTGCATACCTGGTATACAGTAAATGCTCGGTAAATGTTACTTATAAGTAGAGATAGAGATATTGTCAGAGCCAAAAAAAGAAACCTCCTCAATATCCAGCAGCAAGGGATTAGCTAAAACTTTATAGCCATCCAGTGAAATCTGTGCATCAGTTTAAAATAATGTAATTGGATATTTGAGATGGAAAGGTATTCACAATGTATTATTACATGAAACACATGTTGCAAAATATATGTTGATAGTACAGTCTGATTTCATTCTTTCTAATATACCAGAAAGGTCAAGGGTATATTCTAAAACAGTGGTGGTTTTTTAAAATATGTTTTTATTGATATTTTGGAGAGAAAGGAAGGGGGAGGGAGGGAGAGAGACAGACAGACAGACAGACAGACAGACGTTGATATGAGACAGAAACATGGATCGGCTGCCTCCTGCACGCCCTCCACTGGGGATCGAGCCCACAACCCAGGCCCACACCCTGAGCAGGAATTGAACCGGGACTTCTCGGTCCATGAGATGACGCTCAATCCACTCAGCCACACCGGCTGGGCAAAAGCAGTGGTTTTTAAATGCGGTTCCTAGACCAGCAGTCTCAGGAATGTGCCAGGAATGCAGTTTCTTGGGCTTCACCCCAAACTTCCTGAATCAAAAACTCTGGAGGTGGGGCCCGGCAGTCTGCATGTTCACAAGCCTGCCAGAGGGCTTTCTGCATGTTCGCGCGTGAGAACCACTGGCTGATGGGATGTGTGACTAGTGTTTGTCTGTGGGTCTTGAGAAACGGTAGATGATTTTCAATTTTCATTTTACTTTATTTCCTCGACTTTTTAAAACAGTGAATGCATATTACTTATGTCATCAGGGAACAAGAACACGCGAGAGATATTTTTAAAACCAAACCATATTGCAGATTTTTTCGATGGTTGCAGCAGTAGTGTGCTCGAGTGAAAGGCACTGAGGGTAAGCGATGTTCCCCCTTCTTCTGCAGGTGACTATTATCGGGTACACATTCGGGATCCCTGACGTCATCATGGGTATTACTTTCCTGGCAGCAGGCACGAGCGTTCCAGACTGCATGGCCAGCTTAATTGTGGCAAGACAAGGTACACATCCTGTGTCAGTCCCCACCGCCATCAGCGTCACCATGCAGGCCCCTCACCCCTGCCCGAGCTACAGTTCCTGGCTCTTATGACTTGTAGTTAAGTTCTGCTGTGGAGGGAGCTGTGATTTTTGGAAATCACACGTATCAGGTTCCACCCGTGGGGAGAATGCCACCCAGATGAACCCCCCCCCCCACTCCAGACCTCAAGAAGCATTTGTACGCGTGCAGTTGTATAAAAATGAACTTGTCCTGAAATCACCAATGTGAGACTGACCAGAGCTGAAGCCCAGCCTTCTTATCGCTAATGAGGTGGTAACAAGAAGTGTTCTGGTCCCGTGAGGGCAGAGTGGGGATGTCCTAGACCTCCAACGATTTCCCTATGCTTCTTCGGAGTTCCAGAATTTGTGTAATGTTTTGGTGTGTTGGGTCATTTTTCTTTGTGGCCTGCAAAGCGACATGGGTTAAGCAAGGTGAGGGGGCCCTGTGAGCTCTCTGACAGCAGAATAGAAGAGCTGACAGAGCCAGCCTTTCTGTACTGCTGTTTCCCGGCGTGGCCTTCCACAGATCTTCCCCCGCAGATGGAGGTTTGGAAGTATGGCGGGTGGGGGTGCAGGGGGGGTGAATAATGGAGCGAAATCTCAGAGGACTCAGGAGAGGAGAGAAGTAAGTACCCAGAGAGAAAGTTGGCTTTGGCGATAGGGAAAGGACATTTTATTCTTTGAAACAGAAGAAAGGTTTGATTGGTTGGCAGGTGCTGAGAAAATATGAGTTAAGGAGAAGGCAAGGGTGCGTGTATGTTTGGGAGTCACCTGGAGCCTTGTGAAAATAGGGACCCTTGGGGCTGGCAACCCAGGGGAATGGAATTTAATAGAGTGACCTTTGAGGTGAGTGTATTCATTTTGGCTAATCTAATAGTCAAATGGACACGAGACAGATTAGCCAGAGAGGATAACCACATTTAATCATTCATGCACGTACGGGGTGCGTAAGAGCGTGGGGCCCAGGACACAGGGCAGTGGAGGCTTATATGCCATCTTGAGCTAAGGAGAAGGGGTAGTGGTTTGTGATGTCAGAGGGCAGGAAGGAAATTCACAGGGAGATAAAGAAGCACACGTGTGGAAAGCAGGCTTGCTGGGCCTTCTGCAGCAGGGGACACGGAGGGGCCTGGGATCACGCAGGCTTTGCTGGGCTCCTCCCCGCCTCTCCCATTAGTTCACACTGCAGAGGTCTGTCGAATTCTTTTAGGCAGTTAGGGGTAAGGCCAAAGGTTTTTCCTGAGCCTTTTGTTTCTTGACAATAACCAGCTTAGAAGAATATCCCCCAAAAAGGCATATTTGGGGGCGGCAAACTCTGCCACCCGTCCATTCCCAAATGCTGACATAAAAATAAAGACCCCAACTGGGTGGCTTAAAACAACAGAAACGGCTTTTCTCACAGTTCTGGAGGCTGGCGGGTCACCGTCAAGGTGTCAGCTTGTGGCTGCATTACTCCGGTCTCTGCCTGCAGCTTTGCACGGCCTTTTCTCTGTGCGTGTCTGTGTCCACACAACCCTCCCCTTTTATTTTTTAATCCTTGCCCGAGGACATTCTTCCATTTATCTTAGGGAGAGAGAGAGAGAAAAAACATCGACGTGAGAGAGATGATTAGTTATCTTCCACACGACCCCGACCAGGGCCACGAACGAACTGGAACTGAGGTATGTGCCCTGCGACTGTTTGGTCCACAGACCAACGCTCTAACCACCGAGCCAGACCAGCCAGGGCACACGACCCTCTTATCAGGATACCAATAACTGTATTTGGCTCACCGGATTCAGTATGGCCTCATTTTAATGTGATTACACTTACAAAGACCCTATTTGCAAACGAGGTCACAGTCAGGTTCTGGGTGGACATGACAGGGGCTACTCTTCAGCCCAGCTGAGCGAACAGAAGGAAAGCCCACGAGCACAGAGGGCCTGCCTGATGTCCTCGTGGCGTGAGCGTGGGTGGGATTCAGTCACACAGGTGAGATGACAGGTCCATCCAGAGCTTTGGTTGGCTGGTGGACACGACAGAAGGTCGGGGTAAGAGAACATGAAGTTTAAGCAGCTAGCCCTGGAGTCCAGGCTAGTAGCGGGGTGGGGGGTGACATTAGAAGGTGAAGGACTAAGACGGGGAGGGGATGTCCCAGTGAGGTCAGAGTACGGGCTGTGCAGGAACAAGGGACAGGCAGGTTCTGAGGGAGGACACCCCCTCAGTGGCTGCTAAACCTGAGGGAGGGTGAGGTAGGGAGGGCATGGACGGTTGTCGTACGGTGGCCCTGATGTGATTGACAGAGGACCCAGCGGACACGGTTGAAGCACAGAGAGTGTATTTGTGGCAGGGGGTCCAGAACCTGTTGGCACCACTGCATAGAGCAGCAGCCACGCTGCGTGCCTGCCCGGGGCACCGCTGCCCTGCCTGCGGTGTAGCTGCCCTACCCAAGGTGCCACTGCCCTACCCGGGGCGCCGCTGCCCTGCCCGGGGTGCCGCCCGCAGCCTCCCTGCACTGGGCCGCAGCCTTCCGTGTGGTCCAGGCTGGCGGCATCGGCTGGACAGGGAGTGTGAGAAATTCAGACTCTCAGGCCCCACCCCAAACCCCCTGAATCAGAATCTGCCTTTTAGCAAGACCCCCAAGTGCGGCGTGTGCGCCTCACAGTTGGACGCGGCGGAGAGAGGGCGGCGCGTGTGCAGAGCCCCCGGCCCAGCCCCAGGCGCCGGTCCTCTCCTCCCAAGCTCGTCTTTTCACTCCTCCCCAGGATGATTTTCTGCCACCTTCAGGTAGAGAGAAAGGGAAAGGACAGGAGAGAGAAACATCCACGTGAGAGGGACACATCGACTGGCTGCCTCCCGCACGACCCCGACCACGGCCGGGATGAACCGCAACCGAGGTACGTGCCCTTGACCGGAATCGAACCCGAGACACTTCGGTCCACGGGCCGATGCTCTAACCACTGAGCAAAACCGGCTAGGGCTCCTCCCAAACTCTTCACACCTCCCGACAGACCGGTCCACGGGTGCCTGCCTCCTCACCAGGGGCAAGTAGCTGGGCCAGGTACTGCCATCCCTGCCATCCTGCGTGTTAGAGACGGGGGACCAGAAGGCGTCTCCTGGAGATGCCGCCACCGAAGGGCTGCGCTGCCCAGACACTGGCAATGCTGGCGGGGAGGCCCTTGAGGAAGGCGTGTGCCCGAGCTCAGCAGATGACGGGAGCAGGGCGGGAGGAGGAGGTGACCTGGCTTACACCAGCGGGTGGCCGTCACAGGCAGGCGAACCCGTCGTCCAGACGCTCGGAGTCACTGCCCGCTTCTCCGTGACCAGAGCAGTTTACAGTTAGGCCGTTAGGCCTGTTCCTCCCACACACCCGTGTGCGTGCCAGGTGGTTTCGGGTCAAATCGGGGCCCGGCGGCCAGGTTGGAACAGGTTTCAGCCAGTATGAGTCTTATTGGTAAAAGTTGTTTTCTAACTTCTAACACCCCTCAAGGTATTAAGTCCCTCCGATGGAATGGCTAGCACGATTCAGGACAGTGGGGCAGGAAGGGGAAGATGACGACATGGTCCCCACTCTCTAAGACGCTTGTCGCCTGGCTGGCAGAAAAGAGCTCACCCTTTGGAGGCCACCAGGGCATAAGACCAGATGCCCTGGCGTCCCAGCCAAGGTCATGGTTCCATCACCTGGGCCCCAAGTACGCATCCTGTCTGGGTGTGAAGGACGCGAGACTGTTGGCGAACTGTGTGACCTTGGGCACATCTCCAGCCTTAGGGTCATCGTGTGCCATGAGGACAGTGCCCCCGCCTCTCAGAGCGGCTGGGGTTACATGAGGTGAAGCGCAGTGGGTCCTCGGGAACATCACTAACACCCCTGGCGAACTGTGCAGGCCCTGTGTCAGGTTCCACACTGGGAGGGCAGACAGCAGAAACGTACCTCAGTCTGGAGGCTGGGAGGCCCAGGTCGGGGTGTCAGCAAGGCTGAGTCCTCCGGGGGCTGTGAGGAGCATCTGTTCCCGGCCTCTGGCCTTGGCTCTAGATGACCACGTCCACGTGACTTTGTCCCTGCGCTGTCTGTCCACGTTTTTCTAGGACACCAGTCATACTGGATTAGGGCCCACCCTCACGACCTCCTTTGGGTGATCTCTAAAGACCCTCTCTGTAAACAAGGTCACATTCTGAGGGGGTAAAGGTTAGGGCCCCCAACATATGAACCTTGGGGCTCACCATTCAGTCCGTACCAGGCCCCCTGTAGACTTCGCGACCGGTGAGTCTGAGGCCTCGGAGAAGGTTTAGAAATGCGGGGTCTGTGAAGAAGGAATTCTTATCTCAGGAACAGCACTACTAGAGCAGTGAAGGGACAGAACAGGGACTTCCCGTGACCTGCTCCTAATGAGTGACACGTGTCGATTGTCCCTCTAGGCCTTGGCGACATGGCAGTTTCTAACACCATAGGGAGCAACGTGTTCGACATCCTCGTGGGACTCGGCATCCCGTGGGGTCTGCAGACCATGGTGATCAATTACGGATCCACAGTAAGTTCCTCTCGCCTCCTTAGTAAGTGAGGTAGACGCCAGGCGTGTGCATTTCACGGGAATGAGGGTGCTGTTGGCCCGTCCCTGCCAGGGCTCTGGGTGACACGCCCCCACTTCTCCGTGGCACTCCGGCACCCACTTTCTGTGAAGGCTCCCAGAGCAGTCTGAGGGGTGCCTACAGGGGAAGCCCCTGTTTGCCCGGCACTCGTTGGTGCTTCTGCCCTGTATCTAGCCCACTGGAATGCCTGTCCCCGCCCGGTCCTTTTCCTCAGACCAGCGGAGCCGAGATTTGAATCCACAGTTAGCTGATCGTCCATGGCCATGTGCTCACCTTGAACACCCACCTGTGCTTCCCAGATGGGGGAGGGAATACACCGGAGCAGCTGGGCTCTCGGAACAGATGGGCCAGAGCAGCCCAGAGAGTCAGGGCGCGTGTTTGTTTCTGCAGGTGAAGATCAACAGCCGGGGCCTGGTCTATTCCGTGGTGTTGCTGCTGGGCTCCGTGGCGCTCACGGTGAGTTTTTATATTTGCAAAATAGAAGCCTTGTGCACACTTCATTTCATCGAGTCCGCCCGGTCACTTGCATGCCTGTGAAACCCCTCTCTCTTCCCCCGGCAGTGAGGGGCAAAGCTAAGGGAACATGCATTCGGATACCCCGAGACACAATTTGTGCCAAGAATGTTGGCACCCACCTTTGCACTGTTCCCTGAACAACTAAGAAGTCATCGGAGGAAGGAAATGACTTTCTTCTTGCTGCCCAGTCTGTCTCCCCTCACTAGAGGAGAAATCTTCCCCAGCCCGTCCGAGCTGGCAGAGGGGGCATTGCTCAGGCATCCGGACTCGCACATAGTAGAACTCGGGTCTCCACACTCCATGTGCCCAGGACTGAGCTAAACGCTTTACCTTTGCTGAATGATTCAATCCTTACAAATACCTGATGGTACCATTCCCATTTTTCAGAAGAAATCAAGGCTCGGGGGTTAACGTGCCCAAGGTCACCCAGTTAGGACGTGGCAAAGCTGGGACTGGAGCCCAGCTGGTCTGTCTCTGTGGGGCCTGTGACGTTGCTCTGATGAGGGGACTGTGATCCACCTTTAGCAAGCCTCGATTCAGGGGTGAGAGAGAAGGCAGTAAAGGGACGTGTGGGAGAGTCTGGGAAGAATTGAGAAGGAGGGTACGTTCCAACCTCTCTCTCCAAACACATACATAAGTAGAAAAAGTTGGTGCGAGCTGAAGTTTGCCCGATGGTGGGCCCGCAGGAGTTCTGGAGAAGAGGGCTGAGGATACCAGGTTCTGAGGCAGAAGACCCTCCTTGTGGCTGGAGAAGGTCTGGGCTGGGGAGGGCCCGTTCCCTGAGGGCAGCTGGTGTGTCCCTTGAGTCCGAAGGCTGGGCCAGGGCCTCGCCCTGCCATCAGACAAGGCTAAAGCCTGCAGGGCTCATGCCATCTCAGCAAGGCCATGCCTGGCAGCACCCTCTGCTCTAGCCCACATTTGGAGGAAGTGATGGGATTCGTGGTTTATGTGCAGTTTTCCACAAACGTATTTCTCCGCCCCACGCCTGACCCTTGCACTGTCTCCTGCCAGGTCCTTGGCATCCATCTAAACAAATGGAGATTGGACTGGAAGCTGGGCGTCTACGTGCTGGTTCTCTACGCCATCTTCTTGTGCTTCTCCATCATGATAGAGTTTAACGTCTTCACCTTTGTCAACTTGCCGATGTGCCGAGAAGAAGATTAAAGCTGAGCCGCGGCCGGCTGGGAGCTGTTCTGGACACTGGCGCTAGCGTCCTCCCTTCTGTCCCCTCCCACCCTGAGTCTCCTGCACCGGCAGCCGCCATCTGTTCTTTCTTACACTGGAAGGAAGAGCCATCGTGGTCCTGGGTCACGGGCCAGGCTGCTGGGCGTCCTCCTCCTCCTTGGAGTTCTGTCCCCCAAAAGGCAAGATTTGGGGGCCGCTATTAAAGCAGCTCTGCAGACCGGAGCTGCCAGTCACAGGGATGTGGCATGTGTCTGATCTCTCTTGGACACTTCAGTCAGAAAGACTTCTGTGTGCAGTTGGTCTTTCTGTTCCACAGCATCCTCAGAGGGTGAATGAGGTGGTCGGTGAATGGGACATCTCCCAGGGCAAGTGCAAAACAGGAGTGTCCCCTGGGCCTGAGGGGTGAGGTCCGTGGGCAGCCTACGCTGTGAAGAGCTGCAGGAACACTCGTGGTTTGGAGGGGCAGGGCCTCCACCTGCTGGGGGGGTGGGGCCATGAAGGCAGACACCCCTTTTTCTGGACAAATTGGAAGAATGGAAACAGTTTTTCAGATTTGTTCTGTTTTTGTTTTACAGCAGAAGAGAAAACAAGAATACACTATTTTTCTCATGTTTATTGATGCATTCAGAGAATGAGTAATGAAATATTAAAAATAAAATGTCCTATAGCTCATCATACTTGAAAACTATCATTCCATACAAAAGGACCATTATGGGGACCGAAAAGGTGACGCGGAAAACGAACCCTGTGCGTACCGTGTGGCGTGGACACGGAGACGTTTGGCTTGGAACTTGGGAAAGAGTACGCGACTGACCTCTAACTGGGTGCTAATTCACAGACACGGCAGAGATCGTAGTGCCCAGCCATACCTTCCAGACCTGTGTGATGCGGCGTCACTTTGGGCTTGTTTCTTTGTTAATGCTCTACTCTCAAAACCATCCTGTTGAAAGACCCAGTTGTTCTATGCCCAACAAATTCCATAGCCTGCTGAACCAGAATAAGTGTGCCAGCAGTTACTCACAAGGAGAGAGGTTCCCGGAAGGCAGCACACTGCTCCCTGGGTGGCTGGGACCGAAACTGGGAATTTTTAGAGCTGAGTTTCTTGAACCTTACGGTTGGCTACCCATGAAAGGCCAGGGATGGGAGGCTGGTTCAAAAATAGAGAAATATTAAACAGCTTTTGACCACTTCCTAGCTCTCCAATATATATTAAAAAGAGTTACGAACACAAACCATTTGTGGTTTCTAAAAAGAAAGCACAATTAATTTTATATAGAGGTATTTTTATTTTTTTAATGTTTCTATTGCAAAAGTCTATCAGCGTCGATGCACTTTTAACACTGAGCTATTTTGCACGGAAGACAGTGGGAATTACCCATGATGCTAAGAGGAAAGCAGGTGTTTCGTGATTCACGAGTGAGCAGTCATTGGGGATGAGCTGAAATCCAATAGCTAATTCCTTCCTGAGACACAGAGGTTGTGACCCAAGGTGGGGTTTGTGGCTGTGCTCCTTAGGGCCTCCTGAATGCTGACAGAGGAAGTGTTCGCGTGTGTGTCCTTTTCGTTAGCGGGGGCCTGCGGTGGGCCAGACTCCGCCACCAGGTTCTGTCTTGGACCGCCATCAGGGTGAGCGGCTCCACCACACGAAGGCTTCCCTTTTTGGTATGCTACCTAGATATGGACTCAGTGATCTTCAAGTTGAGGACAAGGGTGATTTTCCTAAGAAATTAGCTGAGTGTGAGGCCAGGGAGGCCATCGGTCATCATTATAAACTTAAGTAGAAGAAGGTTTCGGAGCCCTGGGGGCACTGTCCTCTTCGCAAAGCTGGCCTGGTTCTGTCTGTCTTACACTCACCGGCTCTCTAACCCGAGTCTCAAAGCTCCCTGCAACGTAAGTAGGGATTAGTCTCCCTTTTAGCAGAAAATTTAGTCTTGGAGAAGTCAGGTGACTCGAGGTCAATGGCCAGTTAGCAGCAAAGTGGAGGCTGAGCTCCAGATGGTCGCCCGTCTTGGCTCAGCTAGTCCAGGGGGTTGGCCATCCTTGCTGGGGGAGGGGCTGGGCCAGGTGTGGTACGTTTTTGTCCTTGTGGTTGGATTTCATCATTTGAGTCGGAACTTCATCAGATACTTACTTGACTCCTGGGTGCCCCAGCTCATATCCTAATATCTACCCCTATCCAATACCCCTACATTTTTCCCGGTAAAGACCAAAGCATATTTTTAGCGGCAAGGCACAGGCCACATGGCCCCAGATGACGTCCCTGCTGGTGTCACTTGTCTGAACACTTGTATAGTTTTCAGAGAACACGTCCTAATTACTGGCCTTTTCCTCAGCAGAATCCTTCTGAGATTGTAAAGGACACGGCAGTTACAGTGTGAGACTAAACAATGATGTTCTTCATATGTAGAGCGCTCCTGGCTAATTCTCTCTTGACTTTAATGTGCCAAGGTAACTTGCGTAAAGGATTTATGCATTTAGTATACTTAGGAAGCTATAGATACACTGTAGGTGAAAATTTCTCGTTTTAAAATACTTTTCCATCACAAGTTGTAAGAATTGCTTGATTAATTAGGCCTTCATTTTAAAATAATGCTTTATCACTATGCAGGAATATTTCCTTTATTTTATCCCCAAAGCTAATTAGCATGGGGTAATTACACGGCTACAAAAATAGGCAGTTGAAAAAATTAATTTAACTCTTGTCACTGGGGACAGAAAGGAGAAACAAACTGTTGCACTCAGATGGAGAATGTCTACAGAATCAGGAGCAGGGGTTTCCTTTTGATTTCTGGTTGGGAATTTGCCCTGACCAGCCCAAGCATGGTCCAGGTGAAAGGTGAAGCTGGCCCTGAAGGAACGTTCTGGGTCAGCTGCAGTGAGAGACTGGTGGTTAAGGGCACCGGCGGCAGATCAGACCCATCCCACCCTTCCTGTAAGCCACCCTCAGCCAGCCTCTGTGCTTCCTGTCTGTCCTGTGCATGGGCCTTGCTGCCCTGTGAGTTTTCATCTGCTCCTTACCCTGCCCCCCAATCTGTTAGGGCTATATCTTTATTAATTTTAGAGAGGAAGAGAGAGGGAGAGAGAAACATCGACGATAGAAACATCTATTGGCTGCCTCCTGCATGCCTTCCACTGGGGATCCAGCCCACAACCTGGGCATGTGCCCTGACCAGGAATCGAACCGGCAACCCCTTGGTGCATGGGTCAGTGCTAAATCCACTGAGCCACATTGGCCGGGCTGTTAGGGCTCTTTCTGCTTCTGCCTGTCAATCCCCTGCCTTTACAGACCTAGGCAGCTGCAGCTAATAAAGCACTAACCCTCCCGGAGTTCACCATGTGGGCGTGCACATCACTCCAGAGCAGTCGTGTGGACGCGGACCCGCGAACCCTCCTGGGCAGCCCAGGGCCCAGGTCCTCTTCCTTTGGTGAGGATTCGTAAGCCTTAGGGCATCAGCGGAAGCCAGCCCTCAGGAACACCGGAATCAGACACAGGCTGGGTACCAGGAAGGTGTGGGCCCTCCTTGTCTCCTAGTGTTTCTCTTCCCTGAGCCCTAGGGCCCCTCCCTGTCCTGAGGTGGGTGGACAGAGTGAGATGGACTGGGAGAAGGGGCGTTCCTCCCCCAGGTATGAAATGGACTCGTGGGGTTCAGGTGCTGGGACAGTGTCGGGTCCGCTGCATGTCTGGGGACTTCCCTGCCCTTCAGCTGGTGCTGGTGCCCCTCAGTGAGCCATGGCCCCCCGCAGCCCTGACAGGGAGCAGCACCCAGGGCTGGAGTTGGTCTCTTCCCTTCCACCCTCGCCTCGCCCCTGTCGCCGCGATCCTCCTCGGCTGGGCTGTGTGTGACAGGCTCCAGCAAATGCCTAGTGCTCGAGTACACAAAGAACTTGCCCGTCGGGGTGAAAATCGTCAGGAGACTGTTCCCATGCGCTATGATTTAAATATCCCCAGGTCCCTCTGATGCCCTCTGAACATGACCTCCATGCGCATCTTCCTCCCCTCGAAGCGGTTAGCAGATGCGCCCAGGGCACCCGAGACGGTCCACATCTTAGCTTCATTGCCACACGGCGCCCATAGAAACTCCCAGAAGTTTCTGACAGTGCTCTCTGGGTAGTTCTCGCATGGCAGAAAGTCATCATCCCTCACCCCAATTCCCAACCCTGCCTCCCTGGCCCCTCCACCTCTGGATCCGCCCGAGTGGGCGCCCCCACCGCATGTGAGCACTTAGTCTCTGGCTTTTCACTGTGCAGCTGAGCACGTGAGCCCCTCAAGGCTCCCTGGGCTTCTCAAAACATGGAGCAGGGGCCCCTCCAGCCCTGGGCAAATCTTCTTCGTTCGGTCTTGTGGGTGTTTCCATGGGCTCAGCAAAGGACGTGGGTGGGACGCAGATGCTGTTCTCACGTGGAGCCCGGCCTTTCGCCAGCCTGGCTGGGCTCTGGTCATCTTTTGTCCAAGAGTTTCTAAGGCTTCGCGTCGCCTCTCGTGTCCGTGTCCAGCTGCCAAGGTCGTGGATGCTTGACACCCTTCGCGGCAGGAGCTGAGCAACCCTCTGTTCTGGTCGAGGGACATGTCCGTTGCCTGAACACCCTGGTACAGAACCGGTGACGAGAGTTGAAAACACCTCTGTACTAGGGGTAGGTCCAGCCTCGGCTGCGTGGCTTCTCCAGCCCTTAGATGGACACGTCTGGGTGGCTGCTCCTTGGTTAAACACTGGATGACCAATCCAGGCCTAACCCACACCTCTCCCCAGTGTGGCCAGAATGCAAACAGTTGCTTCTTATGCAACATGTTGGTTGGGACTTTTCCAATGTCGAGGTCAATGAAACCCTTAATCCCGGAGAAAGTACGTCCCTACCCTGCCCGCCCCCTATTGGAAAACAATTTGCTTGACGCTATCGAGAGAGTATGTGCAGCGTTCAGCTTCCAGTTGCACGGTGTGTGTGATCCGCCTTGGTGCCTGAAGGAGGGCTCCCGACCACAGCGACCTCCCTGCTCCCGCTCCGGGATTCCCAAGTGTCCAGGCGCTCGCGCTGTCCCCTTCGGCAGGAGGAGCGAGGCCTTTTCCCCCACCGTAAAGGGGTGTAAGCAAGGCAGCTCTGTTTGTCCACATCAGATATTCTAGCGGGGTTTTTCTGGCCACTGCGGCACCCCTGCCCTCACCTCCAAAGGTGCCCTTCTGAGCTGCAGACGACTTCCTGGAGCCTCCTCCACATGGCTTGGACTAAGCATTGTGGGGGACCCGGTGGAGAGAGCTATGGCTAGGCCGCTGTGGCCAGGCTTGGGAAATTTCCCCGGGGAATGCTAGTCTGGACGGCCGGGTGTCCAGAGCACATGCTCCCTGGCAGAGTGCCCTCTGCCTGTGTCTCCCGTCCAGCAGCTACCAGCGGGAGCCCTTGCTGGGTGTCTGAACACAAAGGGAGCCTTGATTACCCAGAGAGGAAAGAGGGCTGCCAGCCAGATGGGGCCAGGCCCAGGAGCAGGGGCGGGAGCTGCCAAAGAACGGGCCGGGTGAGGAGAGGCCTGGTGCATCCCAGATGCCCAAGAGACAGGCTGGGCACAGTTTCTGCAGAGTCATGCAATCTCGCTGGGGCCCAGCCATGACCTACCAGATAGCAGGCAGATAGAATCAGAGGGCTCTGTGTCTGGAAAGGACTCTTAGAAAACAATTCAAACCAAGAACTTTCGGGGCTGTCACACATCACTTGCGTCCCCCGCAAGACGTTTCTGTCATGCCGGGCTGACCGCCACCAGCCTTGTTCATGCTCCCCAACAGGCGGAGCAGGAGCAATGGGTTGAAAAGTTGTAAATAATCAATATATTTATCCCGCTATTTATTTTTTTTCAATAACTGTGACCTCCTGCACTGTGAA